TCCAGACACTGAACATGATTTCCTTAGCTGGACATCCCTCCTGAGGTTTCCATATGCCTTTATCCTATAATTGCTGCTTGTTCTGTGTTTCAGGTGCTGGTTTCCTTTATATTTCATGAGTTGCAGCCAACTAGGTTTTACTCCAAACTGACTCGTTAAATTGAATGAACCTAAGCTAATGGGTGGATGCGGGTTCTTCACTTCTATTCTCTGGATAGCTACAATGCCAGTATAGGGTGTTCCTAATGTTCATAGAGGGACATGGGTGGCGCTGTGATCTAGACCACAGAGCCTTGGGCTTGCTGATCAGAAGGTCAGCTGTTCAAATCCTCGTAACGGGGTGAGCTCCCATTCCTCAGTCCCTGCTCCTGCCAACCTAGCAGTTCGAAAGCACATAGAAGTGCAAGTAGATAAATAGGTACCACTCTGGCAGGAAGGTAAATGACATTTCTGTGTGCTGCTCTGGTTCTCCAGAAGCGGCTTAGTCATGCTAGCCACGACCCGGAAGCTGTATGCCAGCTCCCTCAGCCAGTAAAGCAAGATGTGTGCTGCAACCCCAGAGTCGTCCACGACTGGACCTAACGGTCAGGGGTCCCTTTACCTTTAAGCTAATGGGTATTGGTATTCTAAATGGGTCTGCTTGATGTGAGACTAATGATGGATAGCAAAGTAGACAACCTGGAACCAGGATGGCAAAAGAAAGGTCTCACCATTTCTGGATATTGGAAAGGTTTGGGGAAGGGCCACCAGATGATCAAGAAGATAAGAATGATTAAGAATACAAGAAGAGTCTGCTGGATCAGGCCAATGGCCCATCTGGTCTAGCATCCTGTTCTCACGGTGGCCAACCAGATCCCTGTGGGAAACCAGCAAGCAGGATACGAACACAAGTGCACTCTTCCCTCCTGTGGTATCCAGCAACTGGTATTTAGAAGAATTGCTGACTCCCAACTGGGGCAGTAGAGCATACTCATAATAGCTTGTAGCCAACAATAGCTTGGGAGAAAAGCAATGACAAACCTAGACAGCATCTTAAAAAGCAGAGACATCACCTTGCCAACAAAGGTCCGTATAGTAAAAGCTATGGTTTTCCCAGTAGTGATGTATGGAAGTGAGAGCTGGACCATAAAGAAGGCTGATCGCCGAAGAATAGATGCTTTTGAATTCTGGTGCTGGAGAAGACTCTTGAGAGTCCCATGGACTGCAAGAAGATCAAACCTCTCCATTCTGAAGGAAATCAGCCCTGAGTGCTCACTGGAAGGACAGATCCTGAAGCTGAGGCTCCAAGACTTTGGCCACCTCCTGAGAAGAGAAGACTCCCTGGAAAAGACCCTGATGTTGGGAAAGATGGAGCGCACAAGGAGAAGGGGACGACAGAGGACGAGATGGTTGGACAGTGTTCTCGAAGCTACCAGCATGAGTTTGACCAAACTGCGGGAGGCAGTGGAAGACAGGAGTGCCTGGCCTGCTCTGGTCCATGGGGTCACGAAGAGTCGGACACGACTAAATGACTAAACAACAACAATAGCTGTCTCCTCCGTGAGTTGGTCTAATCCTCTTTTAAAGCCATCCAAGTTGATGGCCGTCCCTGCTCCTGCAGAAGTGAGTTCCATAGTTTAACTATGCACTGAGTAAATAAGTAATTTATTTCATCAGTCCTGAATCTTCCAGCATTCAGTTTCATTGGTAGGCCATGCGTTCTTGCATCATGAGAGAGCAAAGGAGATAACTCCTAGGGGCCAAGGGGGTCTTTGCCCCCCCCCCCATAAAATATTTGAGGGCTCCTTCACATTGATAGGCATTGCCATTATAATAATAATAATAATAATAATAATAATAATAATAATAATAATGATTTTATTATTTATACCCCGCCCATTGGGCTGAGTTTCGTCAGCCCCTCTGGGCGGCTCCCAATCGAGTGTTAAAAACAATACAGCATTAAATATTAAAAACTTCCCTAAACAGGGCTGCCTTCACATGTCTTTTAAAGATAAGATAGCTGCTTGTTTCCTTCACATCTGAAGGGAGGGCGTTCCACAGGGCGGGCGCCACTACCGAGAAGGCCCTCTGCCTGGTTCCCTGTAACCTCACTTCTTGCAATGAGGGAACCGCCAGAAGACCCTCAGAGCTGGACCTCAGTGTCTGGGCTGAACGATGGGGGTGTAGATGCTCCTTCAGGTATACTTTCAAATGGTGTACATGCATCTTGTCCTGTGATTGATTGTGTGGAGTGGGGCATATTTTATACTTTCTCTATGTCCATTCATCCCCTTTATGGATCACTGCCTTGCAGTGGCGAAGGGGCTTGAATAACTCAGAGAAGCTATGAGCTATGCCGTGCAGGGCCACCCAAGATAGACAGGTCATAGTGGAGAGTTTGGACCAAACGTGATCCACCTGGAGCAGGAACCGGCAAGCCACTCCAGTATCCCTGCCAAGAAAACTCCATGGACAAAGACAACAGGCATATAAAAGTTATGACGCTGGAAGATGAGCCCCTCAGGTCAGAAGGCGTCCAACATGCTACTGAGGAAGAGCAGAGGACAAGTACAAGTAGATTCAGAGCTGATGAAGTGGCTGGGCCAAAGCCGAAAGAACGTTCAGTTGCGGATATGCCTGGAAGCGAAAGGAAAGTCCAATGCTGTAAAGAAAAATGTTGCATAGGAACCTGGATCGTAAAAAGCTACCAGCATGAGTTTGACCAAACTGAGGGAGGCAGTGGAAGACAGGAGTGCCTGGAGTGCTCTGGTCCAGGGGGTCATGAAGAGTTGGACATGACTAAATGACTAAACAACAACAACAACATGTCATTCATCATTTTATAAACTTCTTTCACCTCGCCTCTTACTCACCTTTTCTCTAAATATAAAGGTCCGAAATGCTGCAGCTTTTCTTCATAGGGGAGTTGCTCCATCACATTGGTAATTTTGATGACCTTCTCTGAACTGTTTCCAACTCTGCAACAACCTTTTTGAGGTGAGCTAACCAGAACAGCACACAGAATTCCAAATGTGGTCCTTTGGCACTGAAGAAAGAGTGATCTACTGCCTGACAGTTTCCCTTGTGGTCTAACTGTTGTTAATAAAAAGAAGTTGCTTTAGAGCTTTTGGCAGTTGGTGTCACAAGGCACATGACAGAACGTGTCATAATAGTCCCTTGGTGGCTTCATCATTAACTGAAGCCTCTTCCTCTTGCTCTGTGTTGCACACTAAGCTCTTTTTCTTGTTTTCTTCTTCATCTCATTCAAGTCAAGGTCCTGGCAACCAAATCAAACATCAAGATCAGAAACATTGTTCGCTCAGGAACTGCGTTAGGCAGTAAGCTGGATGGTTACACCAGCAAAATCCTCCATGCAGGAGCAGCCAACCTTACCTGCAGATATCTTTAGACTACAATGTCCATCACCTCAGCCAATGGGGCCAATGATGGGGTTTGATGGGATTTGTAGTCCAGCGAAATCTGGAGGGCACTGTGTTTGCTGCCTGTGCCCCTTGAAACTTCACTCCCTTTCACACTTGATGCTTTGCATAATTTATTGTAGCAAAGAAAGAGAGAAAGAGGGGGCAGAAAAACAGAGAAAGAAAAGGTGAAAGAGAGGAACATTACTCCGCCCCCCCCCCGCGCATCAGCTCACATAAAAAATACATCAACCATTGATACACCCATCTTAATTTAAACATATATGTTGATATATAGCCTTGAAATGTCCAAATTGGTATTTACACGAAGCTGACATTTATAGCACGCTGGATATCTCATAAGAAAAGGCAGGCTGTTGGATCAAGGCCCAAGCTATCAGGCCAAGCTGATGGCCATTACTATTTCTTGTAGGAGCAAATTCCACCATATGAGAAGAAGTACAATGATACCTCTGGTTACAGATTTAATTCGTTCCGGGGTGCCATGCGCACCCCAAAAAATTGTATTTTAAACTAATTGTTTGATTTTGTGTTTTTAATGTATTATATATTTGGTGTTAGCTGCCCTGAGCCCGGTCTCGGCCAGGGAGTGCTGGGTATAAATAAAATTTGTTGTTATTGTTGTTGTTGTTTAGTCAGTCATGTCTGACTCTTCATGACCCCATGGACCAGAGCACACCAGGCACTCCTGTCTTCTACTGCCTCCCGTAGTTTGGTCAAACTCATGTTAGTATATTCGAGAACAGTATCCAACCATCTCGTCCTCTGTCGTCCCCTTCTCCTTGTGCCCTCAATCTTTCCCAACACTTTCCTAAGAATTGTCTGTGGAAAAAACTTTTCTGTGTTGTGTTCCATGCGCTGCTGCTTATCTGCACATTAATTAACAGATTATTATTATTATTATTATTAATCTGTTAATCAATGTGAAAATAAGCAGCAACGCCTGGAACACAACACAGAAAAGTTTTTCTCCACAGACAATTCTTAGGAAAGTGTCCAGATAAATTAAATATAAAGGTAAAGGAACCCCTGACCATTAGGTCCAGTCATGACTGACTCTGGGGTTGCGGTGCTCATCTCGCTTTATTGGCCGAGGGAGCCAGTGTACAGTTTCCGGGTCATGTGGCCAGCATGACTAAGCCGCTTCTGGCGAACCAGAGCAGCGCACGGAAACGCCGTTTACCTTCCCGCCGGAATGGTACCTATTTATCTACTTGCACTTTGACGTGCTTTCGAACTGCTAGGTTGGCAGGAGCTGGGACCGAGCAATGGGAGCTCACCCTGTTGTGGGGATTCGAACCGCCAACCTTCTGATCGGCAAGTCCTAGGCTCTGTGGTTTAACCCACAGCGCCACCCGCGTCCCAAAATTAAATATACTTAGGAGAAAATAGATGTGAGGGAGATATTCGTTGTTCCGATGTCGAAAGGCAAAGTTGCAAGGAATACCTGCTCGCAATATTCCCTGCTCCAATGCAGAAACATATAGTTTTCTTTCAACATTGTGTGGGCACTGCGACTCTATAAATAGAGGGAACCTCCTAGCTGCATGCAAAGTTGCCTTCCCTGTGCCTTAGAGTCTCTTTCCTCTGGCCGTCAGAGAAAACTCCAGCCGTGATGTTTCCTTATCTTAGTTTAGCTGTACAGGTTGTTCTTGTCTTCAGTACTATTGCAGGTAAGAGAGAGCAGCTCTGATTATTCTTATGCTTACGGTCAGATTCCTATGCTTATGACAATATTTTGTGCTCTAGTTCATCATGCTGCTTTAAATGTGCATTTCATATTTTACTTCCTTCAATAATGTTGACTTTTGAAATGTTTAAGTTTTTTTGTTAACTTTGCTGCATTGCATGTGCATTCTACAGTTGGCCTCTTTTGCAATGTTTTGTTTTGAAATCTTTAAGTTAATATTTTAGTTTAATTATATTGTTTTGAATATATACTATATATTTGATTTTTTCTGGCTTGCTTTATTTGACCCTCGGGGTCGCTCCCAGCTATACAATTCTATGCATCTCTGATACTGTTTGATGTTTTAATGTAGTCATAAACAATAAACAAAACATCAAAAAGTACAGAACCAAATTGAACAATTTCCATATAAATAATTTGATCTAAAATAAAGATATAAAAATAATAATAACAGCAAAAACCACCCCCAACAACCCTCTCCAGACAATACCTCAGCAACCTTAGCTTTTGTAGCTGGAGTCAGTCCCAGTCCTGCCCTCCCAGGCCAGGTGGAAAAGGTCTGTAAGGCAGAGGGCAGGTCTTCCTGGACTCTCTGCCAATATGGTCTCTGGCCTTTTCAGCAGCCTCAGCTTTTGTAGCTGGAGTCAGTCAGGTACTGCTAGGATTGTCATATTTTGAAGAGCAAAAAAGAGGACACATTTGCCGACTTATGCTTTTAACTATGGATCGCTATGCGACTCTACTCACAAAAAAGAGGATGTGTCCTGGAAAAAGAGGACATATGGCAACCCTGCAAGCTAATGACTGGCAATCCACAGGAAGATTTCAGTCACGAGCAGATGTCGCTTCCGAACTCTTCCATCCAACTGTGGTGTTAACACAATACCTTGTAAGAGTGAGAGATATTCAATGAGTCGCCTATACGCACAAGTGTGAATGTTTGCTCATGATTTAAAACCCTGAATGCCTGATCTCAGGTATGGATCTTCATTTGGGGATACAGAGACAGGGCTTGGTTTGTGGTGAAGGGGAAAGCAATGTATCGCTTTATGAATGACACTAGCGGATAAATACATTCCAGGCACATTGATGCTGTTTTTAATATAATGGACTTTTAATGTCCTGGGTCTTCATTTAGTTATTTCTATAAAAAAAATCCTTCCAGTAGCACCTTAGAGACCAATGAAGTTTGTTATTGGCATGAGCTTTCATGTGCATGCACACTGTATCTGAAGAAGTGTGCATGCACACAAAAGCTCATACCAATAACAAACTTAGTTGGTCTCTAAGGTACAATAACAAACTTAGTTGGTCTCTAAGGTGCTACTCTGCCAACCTAGCAGTTCGAAAGCACGTCAAAGTGCAAGTAGATAAATAGGTACCGCTCTGGCAGGAAGGTAAATGGCGTTTCCATGCTCTGCTCTGGTTCGCCAGAAGTGGCTTAGTCATGCTGGCCACATGACCCGGAAGCTGTACGCTGGCTCCCTCAGCCAGTAAAGCGAGATGAGTGCTGCAACCCCAGATTCGTCCGCGACTGGACCTAACAGTCAGGGGTCCCTTTACCTTTACCTTAAGGTGCTACTGGAAGGATTTTTAAAATTTTGTTTCGACAATGGCAGACCAACACGGCTACCTACCTGTAACTAGTTATTTCTATGTTTATTGTTTATTTCATAATATTTATTCACCACTTGAAGTGGGGGAGAACCTCCAAGTGGTTTACCAGGAGAATAAAAGAATAAAATTATCTGGAAAAAGGTAAAAGCAACTCTTTAAAACATTCAAAAGAGAAAATCAGCAGCCCTGTTTTGTATATTTTTGTGATGATAACCGAATCCTAAAGGCCTCTCCATCACCAACTCTTTGTACGCAGCGCACAGACAGGGGGAAGTAGTGAAGAATTTGGCGCAAGTCGTTATCTGCAACGAAGGCCGGGGATACTGCCTTGATGTTCAGTCCCGATGTCCCTCGGGCCTCGTGTTCAACAACAACAACTGTCCGAACAAAACGATGAACAAGTGCTGCACTCCGTTTGCAGGAAGAGGTGTGTGAGGAGCCCAGATCAGCTGCAAGGACCTTCTTCCGTTGTCAAGAAGAAGAATCCCTTCCAATGAATCAATAAATATTATTCAATATGCAACCAGTCCAGTTTTCTCTTTGGTGCTATTAGATAGTTCTCATCCGTACAACAGCCCTGTGAGGTAGTTTAGGCTGAGAATGAGTGGCTGATCCGAGCTCACCCAGTGAGCTTCATGGCCAAGTGAAAATTTGAACCCTGCTCTTGCAGAACCCAGTTGAACACTCTAGTCCCCATTTTGTTTGTCAGGACATATACTAGTATGGTTTGATTGTTTGTTTATATTGTGACCCTGCAGTGTGGATGGAGGAGAATTTCATATTTTTTTAAAAAGATATTTATTGAAATTTTCAAATTTAGTACATTAAAAAAGAATCAAAAAAGAAAAAGCAAAAAAGTTTAAAAACACATAAAGTTCACAATCCTTATTTTTCAATAACATATTTCTCTGACTTCCCCACACCTCCCCTTCTTATATTCCAATTCAAATTGTTAGTTCAACAAGTCCTTATCCCTAATTCTTGACCTATTTCTATTTAGTTCATTTTTAAAAAAAACAATTTTGCCTTATCCAGACTTAAACATCAATACTTATACATCATTCTTAAAACATTTTTCTAAAGTCGACCCAAATTCCCTTCCACGAGTTCCCCAATTTTCATACAAGTAACAAGACAAAGTAAAAACAAAACAGATTGTAATTATGTACCCTTTGGATTCCCGAACTCCACCCCCCCCCCTTCTCGGTTTCAGTCCCCAAACAAATGTCCATCAGTCTTAGTCTACTATCAGCCTGGAGATCTCACGTCCGAGGCTCTTAATTCTCTCTCAATTCCTCTCTGCCGGGTTTTTTTGATAGTCCTTAATATTAAACACCAGATCTCGGAGAAGCTCTGGCCCAACGGGATCCATGTTTCTTCCAGCCAGACCTCCATACTTAAAAGTGGAGCCGATGGAGGAGAATTTCAATTCAGAATTTAAAAGGAATCTTATCCAATTCATACTTTCTAAAACGATAAAGGAACCAAAAAAGGGCCGTCCTTTGAAATTTGCACTTCTCTGAATTTTGTGATGCAATTTCCCCAGCCAAATAATGTGTACCAAAAAAAAGGACATGTGCTTGGTAAAGTGTGACTACAATTGCATAGATGAATGAAGGTGGCATTATACTGGGAGGAACCAGCTGCCCAAAAAGTGTATATTGGCAAAATTGTTTATAATGGGCGAAATTTGCTCTAAAACGAATAGATGTGAGCACTTAAAAAAACACCTGATGTGGGAATGTGGAGAATGATCTTACGCCTGGTAAAATGAAAAGCTGGGAGGGTCTAAAATTGGCAAATTTGCCCCTCAATAACCCTGCAGAGCCTTCAGTGCATGGGCAAAAGGCTGACATATTTGATGGGAGGACAGAGTGCTCAGGCCACTGCCATGTATTTCTATATTATTACATCCGTATGTATGTGTGCTTCACCTCTTTCTCCCCATTCCTCCCCTCACAACAACCCTGTGAGTTAGGCTAAGCTGCACAACAGTGGCTGGCCCAAGGTTCCCCCTGTGGGCTTCATGGCTTGCGTGGGGATTTGAACCCTGATCTCCCAGGTCCTAAGTCCCACACTCCAACCACTTCTTGTTGTTTAGTCATTTAGTCGTGTCCGACTCTTCGTGACCCCATGGACCAGAGCACGCCAGGCACTCCTGTCTTACACTGCCTCCCGCAGTTTGGTCAGACTCATGCTGGTAGCTTCGAGAACACTGTCCAACCATCTCGTCCTCTGTCGTCCCCTTCTCCTTGTGCCCTCCATCTTTTCCAACATCAGGGTCTTTTCCAGGGAGCCTTCTCTTCTCATGAGGTGGCCAAAATATTGGAGCCTCAGCTTCAGGATCTGTCCTTCCAGTGAGCACTCAGGGCTGATTTCCTTCAGAATGGATAGGTTTGATCTTCTTGCAGTCTATGGGACTCTCAAGAGTCTCCTCCAGCGCCATAATTCAAAAGCATCAATTCTTTGGCGATCAGCCTTCTTTATGGTCCAGCTCTCACTTCCATACATCACTGCTGGGAGAACCATAGCTTTAACTATACGGGCTTTTTGTTGGCAAGGTGATGTCTCTGCTTTCTGCTTTTTAAGATGCTGACTCTAACTCCAGTATCCCTGCCAAGAAAACTCCATGGACAAAGACAACTCTAACCACTACACCACACTGTGCATTCCAGACAAGGGACAGGAAGAAGAGTGTCCCTCTCTCTGTGTTCTGCTTTCCTGCCACTCACCAACAGAAAGACCTCCCCCTCCGTAGGCCCACCGTGGCTGATGGGCAGGCAAGGGGAAAGAACTGGGAGGAGAGAGAAGTCCCATTCAGCCTAGCAACCTTCCTCCTCTCAAGGCAGATATTGGCATGCACACTCCCTCTTTCTCCTCCTGGAAGGAGAGCGGTACCTTCAAACAGTTTAGGATGCCTCTGGCCCTAATATGCAGGATACTTCCAGCTCTACCATGCCATGATTCACACAAACCACCATACATTTAGCATCCGTGAAAAGTGGCCCTATGCATTTGCCAATGTGGGAGTGTAGGGCTCCTAATTGGTTGTTGTTGGGGGAGATCCTGGGTCGTTTTGGACTTCCGTGTGTGTGGAAGAACACTGTCCACATTCCTCCAGCAGCCAGGCTCTTCTCATATCTTTACATTGTTCCCTTTGGTAAAAGTCAAGTAAAGGACCCCTGGACGGTTAAGTCTAGTCAAAGGCAACTATGGGGTGTGGCGCTCACCTCGCTTTTCAGACCAAGGGAGCCAGCATTTGTCCACATTGTCATGTGGCCAGCAGGACTAAACGGCTACTGGTGCACGGAGGAATGTGACGAGTGCCAGAGCGCACAGAAATGCCGTTCACCTTCCTGCCACAGTGGTACCTATTTATCTACTTGCACTGGTATGCTTTCAAACTGCTAGGTTGGCAGGAGCTGGGATAGAGCAATGGGAGCTCGCTCCATCTTACTTCAGTGCAGGTAGTGGGTGGGGGGCAAGCTAACTTAGGGGGGTGGAAGATGCCCTGTTCGCCAACACCTCATTGGCACTGCCTATTCTTATCTTGAAAATTTTTAACAACAACAAAAGTAAGGTGCTGCCCAGCAACCCCCAGCATCTGAGCAGATAAACCAAGCCTTATGAGGAACAGTTGAAGGAGCTGGGTATGTTTAGCCTGGAAAAGAGGAAACTGAGGGGAGGTAAGATAGCCATCTTCAAATATCTCAAGGGCAGTCACATGGAAGAGGGTACAAGCTTGTTTTCTCCTGCTCTGGAGGGTAACCAATGGCTTCAAGTTAGAAGAAAGAACATTCTGACCAAACATACAGAAAAACTTTCTGATAGCAAGAGCTGTTCGACAGTGGAAAGGTCTCTGTTATGTATTGAAGTTCTCACCCTGGCCACCAGGAGTATCGTGTATACAGTGGTACCTCAGGTTACATATGCTTCAGGTTACATACGCTTCAGGTTACAGACTCCTCTAACTCAGAAATAGTACCTCGGGTTAAGAACTTTGCTTCAGGATGAGAACAGAAATCGTGCTCCGGTGGCACAGCGGCAGTGGGAGGCCCCATTAGCTAAAGTGGTGCTTCAGGTTAAGAACAGTTTCAGGTTAAGAACGGACCTCCGGAACGAATTAAGTACTTAACCCGAGGTACCACTGTATAGTTTTCACTCAGTGCCATGTCAGTTAATTTAGGCGGGGAACCCTGGGTTGTTGTTGTTACAATGTTGACAGCCGACTGTCTATAAAAGCAGGCCAGCTGAGCTGTTCAGTTCAGTTTGGTTACAGCTTACTTATAAATAACAACTTGGAGAAATCTCTGTGTCATCTGTTATGTCCACCCACTACTTAATAGTCTCCCTTGGGTGGTGGTAGACTCTGCTTCCTTGGAGGTTTTAAAGCAGAGGTTGGAAGGCCATCTATCAGGGATGCTTTAGCTGAGATTCCTGCATTGCAGGGGGTTGAACTTGATGACTCTAGTGGTCCTTTCTGACTCTAGAGTTCTATGATTCTGTGCTGCCCAAGGAAGGTGCCTCCCTCTGCCCAAGGATAGGGCCAGCTCTGTGTGGCTGCCCGACAAGTTCACTTGCTCAGAGCAGGCAGGAGGCTACTACAGGCTCATTGTGATGTCTGGCCAGTGTTCACAGAGCACCCGTCATCACCACCACTCTGGTCCAAGGAGCTGGTGGGCCTTTGTGATGTGGGCGTGACTACAAGAAGGGGATGCCTGGCTGGGCCCAGGAAGTACTCTTGCTCTCCAGGTCAACAGGCAGTTTTTTCTTCCCGCCAGAAATGAGCTGGTGTCACTGGGCCTTCGAGCTGATACAGCTCTTGATCTTCATCACTCTCTGGGTCTTCTGGGTGGCTGCAGCCTTGTGGGTAAGAGACTCTCCCCAGCGGAGGATCACAGAGGAGCCTTCCAGCCTAACTTCAGGGTCCCTGTAGAGCAGCCTTTCTCAACCTGTGGGTCCCCAGATGTTCTTGAACTACAACTCCCATCACCCCTAGCTAGCAAGGCCAGAGCTCAGGGATGATGGGTAGTTGTAGTCCAACAACATCTGGGGACCCACAGGTTGAGAACCGCTGCTGTAGAGAAATGAATGGGCAGCAAGTGCAGCAAGCCCAGGACTGGGATTACATGCCCATGACTTCTTGTCATAGTAAACAATCTACCCTTGGTTGCTGTTTTTGAACCATCATCAATGGAAGTCCTGCGTACAACACATTACAATCATCTAACTTGTAGGTTACTAGAGCATACACAACAGAAGCCATGCTATCCCCATCCACATAGGTTCACGACCAAAGCTGACAGAAGACACTTTGTGTCACTGAACTGCCTCCATTGACAAGGTTTACTGAGGACTTGTGAGGGACATGCAGGGGGTGGAGTCTGGGAGATAAAGGGTGTGGCTTAGCATATCGGGGGCAGGGCCTGGTGGCACTGGGTGAGATCTCAGATGTACAGAAAAGGCTACAACTTACTTAAACTTTGTTGTTCACCTACCCAATGCTGTCTCCTTTTTACCTCTTGT